TTGCTTGCTTTAATTACGATTGCGGAGACCCGGGTTTTCAAATCCTCCTACCAAAATGTAGCGGTCAATTTGTATAAAAGTGAGAAAAGGGCCAAAAGCTTTTCTTCCCATCTTTCCAAGTGTTGTGTGGTGGGTGGAGGCTTTTTTTCACATTTATTCCTGTTTGGGATGGATGAAGAAGGCCTTTAACTGGAGCTGTGGTTGCCCTGAGCTCACTCACAGCCGGAGCCTGTTGGAGTGTTGACTCCAAAGTAAAAGAGGCAATTGCATTTCTGCTGGCACCCAGTGTTTGTTTCCAGGATTTTTAGTAGTGCAGAGTAATAAGGAAACATCTGCTTTTTGAAGTTTTTTTTTAATGAATTGGAGAGTAAATGGTTTGATCTAGTCAGCACTGTTTTAAGTTTTTAGTGAAAATCAGGTGAATGGAGAAGATGTTTTAAGTGATTACGGTGGAAGTCATGCATGTGTATTTTCTATCTTTTTTTAAAACCATATTCTCATATGTAAATAAGTTCAGCTCAAGAATCTGGAAATTGCCTAGCTAAACCCTGTTTCCTCTCACCGTGAGATATCTAGTCAGGAACACTACCAATTAAAAAACAAAAACCAGCCAACTCCCATAATAATTTTGCAAATGATTCTGTGACTTAGGTAAATTAATAAATAAATAAATAATGCTCAGCATTTTAGAGCAGATTAACAGGGAAAAAATATCCCTTCTCCATGCAACTTGAAGAGCAATGGTGGTGCAAGTAGCCACTGGTCTCTGGGAATCTGGTCTGCCTTCAGGGGATCCATTCTCTAGTTGCAGAGGGGAGGTAGCTCACCCTCCATCTCTGATGGTGCCCTGTGTTAGTGACTTTCCTCATATCATGTGATAATTAGAATGGATTTGAAACCAGGACCTTTTTTTTCCACGTTCTCTGACAGGTGTTTGAGAAACAAGCAGTTGCATGACTACTTATCTTAGAGGTGCTTAATTCGTACACTACAAGGAAAGCTTTACGTTGAGGTATTTATCACTTGCACTTCTTCACACATGGCATGCTAGAAATGTCATATTGCTTGTCTTTATCTTAGTCTCCTTTTTCTTGTTTGCAAATACCTAACAACTCATTCCTAAAGGATCATCATTTACTAATTCTGCCACTTAAAATATTGTCTTAAATAATTATTTCTTCTGATTTAATGGTGGATTTTTTTTGTTTGGTTGGTTTGTTTTTTGGTTTTTTTAATTGACTGAAGAAGTTTACCTGTAGTGGAAATGTAGATTGTAGGTGGTTGAGTTTCCATACTGCATCTGTAGATGTTGCTTTGGAGCTTCCTTCATGCTTAAAAAATGGAATTTAAAAAAAAGAAGATACTTTTCTGACTAAGAGTGTTGCCCATGAGCTCTCCCACTCTCTGTAGAAAGGGAATGGAACAAACCAGCATAAATAGGATGGTGCTGATGAAGTACCAGTAAATTGAGATGTAACTACCCAATACTACTATGCAACTTCTTGAATTTCCACCAGGGACAACTTTAATATTTTAAAGTAAAAAGATAACTTAGTTATCTGGCTGAAGATTTTATCAAGATAAAGACTTTATGTCTGTTTGAAGGGAAAAGGGAGCTTAATTCCTGATAGTTAGCTAAGCAGTTAATTTTTTTTACAGGAAATCTAAATTTAATAGAAGACCCTAGGGAAATTCAAGGGTGTGAACAATACGCATAATATTTTATGAAAATGACCCCCATATTTAAAATCTGGCATTATATGTTATGCATTGTAGCACCAAGTCCACATCTACCTTTTAGAAAATTAAAACACATAAATTCTGTTTAGTGTTTGATATGTGCTGCACTAGCTGAAAGCCATAATGCCCCTAAAACCTTGGGTTGCTTTTCACCTTTCATAAATTCCTGGGTAGATTCTATACAAAAAATAATTTTCAGCTCCGTGGCTCATTGTTATTCAAACTTGATTGATCGTCGTCATTTACTCAGTGAGGAAGTTAAGTGCTCCTGTCATTTCCAAAGAGTATAATTGGGACGTTTCACAGGTCAGCGGTAGTGACAGGTTTCCCTTTTGATTAGTGTTAGACTGATAACAAAAATTACAGTTTCCTATGATTAATGTTTTCTATAGTACTTGAATGCACAGTTCATGGGTTGTACCTAAACAAAGTGAATTTGCATCTGATTATGCCTTTTCTCTGTCGGGCTTTTCACGTGCCTTAAAGTTTTAGGCCATGCAGGTTATACAGCAAAGTTGCTTCTAATGCAGTTTTTCAAGTTGGGGATTAGAGAAGCCCACTGAATTTTAGTGTGTTACTTTATGGAGAGATACGTACCTCCAGTGACATGGGAACAAATTTGGGGAGATTTCAATTAAAGGTAGTACCCAGCATACCCTCTAGTCCTGGTACTAGTCTAGTACTGGTATTATATCCCCCCTACTTCAGGTATAATCTGGAAATTTATGTTAAATTATCAATCTGAACTGAGTTTTCTTTCTCTTGACACTGTTTCTCAGTTCCTTAAACCTGTTGCTGTTTGTTTATAGACTGCTGAGTAAAAACTGTGGAAACACACTGAATTTACTTTCCCTGTTTTATGATGTGAAAGTTGATCAGCTCGTACATTATGGCACAAAGTTGTAGACTAAGATAATCTATGACAAGTTTTAGCTTGGTGAAATCTTTTTTTAATAGCTACATGAGAAATGGAACCTGAGTGTGGAAAGTATGATGTTGTCCAGCTTGTAGCAAAATGGGAGTGGAGGTTATTTCTGAATTTAATTTAATTGTCCCTAATAGATGAAAAGGGGGTGACTGCACCAGCAGAATATCAAAACCAAAATACAAGCAAACTTCTCTTCAATCTTTAGCCCTCTTCTCTTCTGCAGCACGAAGCCTGATGATTTTTTTCTTTCTAAAGGCCATTGGGAAGGTCTTCTGAGAGTTGTAGTTTAACACAGATGTTCTGCTTTCAAGTCTAGTGGCTTTGGGAGTCTGTGATTAGTGGTGGAACATTTGACCCTCTCTTTGGTTAAACTCTGTTTTGGCTCAGTGTGCATCTGTCTTGGCCAGGCCAGGTACAGCCTGAATTGCTGCTTGCTTTTAGATGAGGAAGAACAATTGCAGTGGGAAACAAAAAGTAAACCTGGGTGCAGGATCCTCCAGGATAGCCTGGATGTTGGCAGCTCTCCAGGTAGGGATAATTGTCCTGAAAGACTGAGCTGTGGCTCTTACCTGTCTTTGGCAGCAGGGTACTCTCAAACATGATTATGATGAGTCTTTATTTTAAAATGAAGACTAATTAAATGTTCTATGGTAAGAATGAAATAGTAAATCAACTCTACTCTTCAGCACAGTAAATCTCTTTTTTTTTCCACTGGAACTGTAGCTTTCTTAAATCAAAGTAACTTTTTAAACAAAGAGAAGGATCTTACTTCTAATTTGTGCCATCCATTCATTATGTGTTGATATGTATCAATGTGTATTAATATAAATTAACATTTGGTATTACAAATTAATTCATTCCAGCTTACAAATAATACTGACAAAAAAAATACTAATTTTTTTTAAAAGTTATTTATATTGAACTACATTCAATAAATCAAGATCGGTTTCTAGGTTTTTGGTTTCAGAGTATATGTATGATTTAAAGGAATTCAGCTGTGACACAAGATTAGAGTAGTGCATTAAATTGGGAAAATTCTGCTTCAGGCAAAACTGGCAGTATCCTCTGGTGCTTGTAGCAAAGAGGAGTTGATATGAATATCAACAGAAGTCAGGTGCACTAAGAGGAGTAAAGAACACAGTTGAAAATACTGAAAATGATGCTATTCCTTATCTGTGGCTTTGGGTTGCTGCAATGAAGTGGAAAAAAGTGATAGCCTGTGCTAAGGCTGGATTTAGTGGACACCCCTTATTATTTCCTAGAATTGTAAAAGCACATGGGAAACTACAATAAAGTGCTAATTATGTTGTTGTTGGGAATTAGATGACTCTGAAGGTGGGCAAAAGAAATAAAGTGTAAAGCCTCTGTCATTGCTGCCTTTTTAAGGTAGCTGGCATTTGCTGTTTTAAAGCTCTGATAGTACAGGCTGTGTCTGGTGGCACAGATTCTTTTAGCTTACGTGTAATTTAGAAGACAAAATCATTTTCAGGTATGGAACAAGCTTAGAAAAAATGTAGAGATTTGCTGGTATATATACAGAAGTATCAGGATGACATGAGATATAGGAAATGAATGAATTACCCTGTTTAGTTGGTAGGAACTGCGTTTTTTTTTAACTACTCGTAGATACTCAGACTGCAAGACAGACCAAATGTACATTTAAAAAAAATCCTGTTTTGTTGATCTTAACCATAGCAGTGTATGCAGTCTAATGGTATGAATGGTTGGGGTGTACCAAGTTAGCTAAGAAATGAATGTTGCCAGTTATTTTCAGTGCTGTTGTGAAGAAACACAGTGAACCACTGTAGTATACACATCTGAATATTCCTACTTGGGTCAGTATTAACTTGCCACTTCCCCTCCTGTTTGCCTGCTCTGGATTTGAGCTCTTAGACAGTTTGTGATACCATGTAACATGCCACAGACTATTTGGGTGCTGCTAGAGGAGTAAAATCATCCAAAGGGGAAGAGGTAAGGCTATAATTTGCTCATTAAATCAAAATCTTGATGTTGTTTTAAGATTTTTTTGGTCTGTTTCATAGCTTCACACTTTCTCAGACTTCACCAACTGTGTGTGTGTTCTAATGGATAAAAGGGGCTTTAAAAGAAGCCCTTAGGATAGAGTATGGCTTTAGAGATAAAACGTTAAGCAGAGGCCTAATCTTAGATAAAGATTAAATACATAATTAGGGAAATAGTTTTGACATAGAGCAGTCTCAGTAGGGCTATCAAGATGTCTGCAAAATATTTTCAGTGTGAAGGGAAATGAAAAGCAATCTTCACATTTACAAAAAAAAAAAAGAAAAAAAACCCAACAAAAATATCTCTGCAGATGAAAGCCTCGGATGATGACGAGGAGGACGAGGATGAAGATGACTTTGTGGAGGTCCCTGAGAAGGAAGGTTATGAGCCCCACATTCCAGACCACCTGCGTAAGGAGTACGGTGAGTTTGCCCAGCTGTGACAAGCTTTATCCCTGCATGTTGCTGCTGCACTAAGGTAAATAAACAGCCATTCTGAAGTAATAAAGTGATCAGTGGTGTGGGTAATCTCTGCCTGCTCTGAGGAAGTCATTACATGGACACAGGAACAGCGATTGGCTCCAGATAAACAAATACTTTCTAGGAGCAGCAGCTTATTTCATTCCATCCTGTTCCACTGGAGTTAAGAGCCAGAGGCAGCTCCGTGTGTACTTATAAGTGTGCAAAACACATACTGAAAGTGAAGGGACTGCAAAGTGGAGCTGTAAATGAGCAGGAATATTAGAAATGCTGGTGACAGTCTGGTGAGATGGGAGAAGGTTCTGTTCCACCACCTGCATTGGTAGCAGTTGGAGATGCACAGCCACTTCCTCCCATAGAGTGGCCAACTTACAGCTCTGCAAGGTGGCTCTTTTTGTTTGTGTGTTCTAAGTAGGTAATTTTTAAATAAAGGTATACTTACAAGTGGTTTTGTGAAATTGAGAGGGGGGTTACTGAGGAAAATTCATCTTAAATAATTCAGTTTTGGTACATTACTCCTTGCCCTTTGTACATTTCACTTAGTAAGTCTCTGCAGCTTGCCTTTGTGCAAAATTGTGTATTTTAAGACTCATAAGATTTCAGAACATTGTAGAGAAGGGAAGGTTAACTGCCATCACACAGAAGTTAAAAATCTTGGCCACTGTAAGAAGTGTCTTGCTTCTTTGCTCCTCTCTGAGTATTTGTGTAAGATTTGTGCTGTACTGTGCCTTTTTCAGTCCTATTGATGCTTATTTTTCATTTATCTGCAGTTTCCATCTTGAAAGTCAGGCTGTAACTGTTACCTGTACAAGTCGAATGTTTCTTTTTGCTGAAAAAAGGGGTGTGCCTGTGTAAAGCCAAGTTTATGTAGCGGACCTTTATGTAGAGGACCTTTTTACTGTCCTCTGCCATCAAAGTTGGCTACAGACAGTGAAAGGTGGTCAGAAACAATCACCTGTAGTTATCCTGGGATCAGCTCAAGGGTGTGTCCAGGTGTGAAGTCCTGCTTATGCCTCAGTCTGTCTACCCCATCTAGACTTAACCTGCCAGGATAGTCTGGGAAGTAAGGCCTGCCCTGATTATCAGTGTTACCCACCTCAGCAGACTTGCAGCGAGTCCAACTGGCTGGTTCCAGTTTGTTTGAAGGAGGCAGGTGACTCTCTTCCTCCATGCCTTTAAAAAAGTTGGAAATTTTCAGCTATAGATTCTTAGAGGACTGGGAATTAGGCTGGTACCTTGAGCAGGGAGCTGCAGCAAGGTTTGATGTGGCTCTTGGAGTAGGTGTTGCTTGAAACAGCCTGCAGGCACTTCCTTTGTCCAGCCCAGAATTGGGGAAGATGAAGTGGAATTGGGAGTATTGAGATAATGAAATGAGAAGTAGATGTGTATGAACACAGATCAGTGCTGGAGGCCTATAGGACACAAACTCGGGAACTGGACAGCCTTTTATTTTGTTTGTTCATGGAAAAAAATGTTATGTTTTGATAAAATTATACCAGTGTGTGTTGGTTATCCCAACTGTGTCAGTCTTGCAATAAATACTGAGTAAATTCTGATTATTGCTAACAGTGGGACTTTGAGAAAAGGAATATAATGGAAAAGAAAGGCAGCAGCTTTCCAGATAGTTGTGAAAAGCTTCTTATGTATGTGTGACTGATGAAAGTGTCCAAAGCATTGGTAGTGACAGTAAATGAATGAACAAATGAGGTTAGTTTTTTACATAGCTATGGTTCTTTTTTTGTTTTTCCCCTTCCTTTGGCAGTATTCCTTGTGCCAAAACTGGTATTTTTGTAATACTTCCAGGCACTGGAACTCATTTGCCATATCTTTAGCAACAGCCTAAAGAAGTCTAACCTGCAAAAGTTCTGTTTGTACTTGTCAGCTTCCACTGGAAGTGAAATGTATTCACCTCTTCCTTTTTTTCCCATCTTCCCTGTGGATACATGTTTTTTAAAAACAGTGTCTTACCACCCTTTTTTGTCACCCTAACACAATATTTGGCTGCTATTCGAAGTCCTCCTCATGAAAAAGGATAAAAGGACAAGACTGCTGTCTACTCAAGGATATTTGAGTGTATATCTATAAAAATCCATATAAAATGGATATTTGAGTGTATATATATAAAAATCTATATAAAATAGATTAAAAATTTCCCAATTTGTATTTAAACAATTGCTGATAGGAAAACACGTTACAGTGCAAATCAATCAGTCAGGAAACAAAACCTCTCACTTTATATACATGTAGTTGTGTAGGAGCTAATGGTCACACTTGGCTGTTCTTTACCTGGTGTATTTGTTAAAAATAACATTTTGAAAGGATTAATCATTCCTGATGTTTCTGAAGTCATTCAACATTGATCACTGCAATTAAAGTTATTAGGTAAATTCCCAGTTCAGGAAAGGGTCTTAAAATAACTCAGACTTCCTGAAAAGAATTCAGGCAGTCTTTTAAGCACACACTTCCTTCTGTCTTTGTGTACTTAAGTGCTTTCTTGGACAAACTGGTGAGTTACTAGTTCAAAAATCTATCTCACAAGCCAATATATAACTATTGCATAAACCAACTGACTTCTGTGTGATTACTTCAGGTCTGCATGAGGAAAATTTTCTCTATTGGGTTCTGTTCTGCATTGTTTTTAATATGCAAAACCAAAATAAGCATCCCTTTGACACATTTTGTTTAGGAAAGTGAATTATCATATTAAAATACACAATAATATATTGATTTTATAGCAGCATGTTCTCATCAAGAGCCAGCTGTTGGGCAGCCACCTCTCTAATTAAATGTACCTTTTGGTTCTATAAGCAAGTGCAGTGATCACAGCAGTGACTTTACCTTTATCTAAATGTGATTCAGGTGGGGTTTTGCTGCATTTCTTCAGTTCACAGCTAGTTCATGAGAACTTTGAGTTTAGAAAATGAGAGTCAGTGCAAGTGGAATATTCTAACTGGAACATTAGGCCTTCCATGTAAAATAAAATCGCAGTGTTATGTGGAAGGTGTGAACAGTTAAAAGCTTTTTTCCTTTTGTTGCTACTTTTCCTGAGTAAACCAGATTAACTTTTTATATTAAACAAAAAAACAAAGGTGTAAAACATGACTCTGGAAATGGATCAAAACGTGACATGTAAATTATTGATTTAAAAGTCACTTTATTCGATGTCACTTCTCTTAGGATAATGGAAGTATCCTACCAACAAGGTAAATTTCAAGCTGAGATGCTATTTCTGATGATGCATATGTGTTTGTGTGGTTCTCCTGAGATCTGAGAAGCTTGTAAAAAATTAAAAGATATTTAGAGACAAGGGAAGTTTTATACACAACTGTGTAAACACATGCATTTGTATTATCTGTTTGTGTATGTGGTTGATGATGATGATCTCAAAATTGATGAGGATATTAAATATGTGAATGAACTGAGCATGGGTACAGTTTGGGTGGAGGGAGAATTGAGCAAGTCAATTTGAATCTCCATGTATAAAATGAAATGTAAATTTGTTAAGAGAATTTAGGTGATTAGATAACTGGAGTGTGAAGATATAACCCATTAGGGGTGTCATGCCAAATTAGCATTACCAGACTTTTAACGACCTCCCATTTGTATAATCCTTATTTACACTTGCACCTGATGTCTGCAACAGACAAGAGCCTGGAGCTCCTGTGGGACCCCAGGGCCACTTTAGATACACTGGGTTGCTAAAGAGGAATATTGGGCTGAGAAAGAAACAACACTGATAATAATTTTCTTAAGGTTGGTCTTGTTCTCGGTACTGATGTTGCTGATTTCAGTTGCCCTTGTATGGCTGATGTTTCTAAGCCCTGGAAAATCAAGAGCATTTAAAGGAAAGCTTTAGGGATCTCCACTGGAGATTCTCCACATTCCTGCCTTTGCTGGTCAGATGAAAGTTGCATTGGCATAAAGCTTTAAAGGTGGATGAGGTAAGGATGGAACTGTGCAGCTCCTGATGTCATTCTTGTGCCATTGACAGGATTTGGTGCTGATGCCAGGATAAGAGATTCCTTCCTGCACCCCCCTCAGTTGATAGTTCTTGCTTGTGTCTCAATACAAGCATTCAAGAACTTACTTATGCAATAATGCTCTGAGGACAGGGAAGTGCTATTGCTCTTTTACAAGTGGTGACACAAGGAAGCCATCTGACTTGAGAATATTAGCATGGAAGCAGTCTGTTGGTTATCAAGTTTCATCCTTATCCAAAATCTTGTGAGGAATGACTGTACAGTCAAGAACACAAACCATTATTTCAACTGTGATTAAACAGATTATTTCTCTTGTATTTGAACCTTAAGCCAGAATGTTTTTAGGTCCCTAAGAGCTACTTCAGTGGTTCATGTTGCATCTTAAAGACTGCTTGAGACTTCTTTCATATTGGGATCAAAGCTGTAGTTCTAAAATCCCAAGGGTTAGTTCTATCCATTTCAGAAATTCTTCCTCATCACAGTGATGTGCTTTTGTGGGTTAGATGTCCCCACACTGCCTTTCCTAATATGGTGTTTGAGTCATAGTTTTCTCTGTGTTTTTTTTGTTGTTGTTGTTGTTACTATGAAAAGTCATAGCAACATGAGAAACAAGACTTATACCCCAATTAAACCAATAAAGTGTACACACCTACTGTTTCCTTAGTAGAGAAGTTGTCACCTGGTTCTTTACATAGAATTGGGAGTGCTTTGGACCACAGAAGCTATTCATTCTATTGCAGCTTTCACTGAGCATTTTAGAGACATAAATAAACTTGCTGTGGTGACCATTCATTAAGGGTGTGGGGTTTTATAGCTTTTGCATCTTCTCAGAACATGAAAAAGCCTGTATTAGAAATGACAATACAGCACTGTGTAGACTAATGTGTGATTGAATTTTTTTATTTGAAGCAGTAAAAGTCATGCATTTTGGGGCATTTATTCATAAAATATACTTGTTTATAT